AAATCGGTTATTATCACAGTTGTCACATTTGGCTACACTAAAAAAATATTGATAATATATTATTCGTATTAAATTGGGAATTGATAATATCTCTCGCTCCCTCGTCATATATATATATATATATATATATATATATATATATATATATATATATATATATATATATATATATATATATATATATATATATATATATATATATATATATATATACATATTATGCTTAGCAAATATTAGTTAAGACATCAGAGCGCAATCACTGCAAAGCACGAACTTAATATATTTATCTACACACTGATAAAATTCTTTAAAACGCACTCAACGCAAAGACGTAATACAAAATTTCCACCTAACGTCAACTCATAAAATACTTCATAATTAAATGTGTGACAATATATTCTTCGTAAAACTTCACTAGCTTTTGTGACAGCTGTTCCTGGGCTTTAGGTTAGAAGACGATTAGTTCCGCGCTGTGAACCAGCATGTGGAGGAGACATTTGACCAAGTATTTGTGTGGAGTTCAACACGTTATTAACTCTGTAACACCAACTAAGGAACACTGGCAGGGCAACTAATTTTGCGCTAACAAATAAATCAACATGACGCTGGTTGTAAAACAATACAATTTATTTTATACTAATACTAAGGCTGTGTTTAATTTACCTCCAGAAGAAAAACAATCACACTTCCATAAAACTTGAGGTAAAATAGTAAGTTAAACGAAAATAAAAGTTTACGTTAAGTGTTTCTTGGCTTAACGGTACAATGGTCTAGCGTCCCAACCACCGCCATACCGAACACCAACATCACTAGTCGCTCTATGTTCTTACCCTTTGTTTACTATCTTGTGCTACCTGGCACTACTAATTCCCTACCTTTAACTGACTCAGATTGCATGGCCTGCAAGTCGCAAAACCAGCAAGAAAAAGATATTAAGTCGTGTATAGTCACCGAATCGATGCAGCAGCACTCCTCTGCCCGCCATCTTGATTTACAAACTGACCAATCAGCGTGAGGCTCCGGATGATTACGTCACCGAGCCTCACCGACCAAAACAAACCGTCTGAGTCAGCCACATGCCGCGCTGGATGGAACTTTTTCTTCTATTTAGTCTCGTTTTGATAACATGGAGATATTATATTTCACTTGAATATTTATTCACTGATATAGTTGTATGTCATCTTTGAAAATATATTGTTACGAAATAAATCGTGTCTGTTGCCTTACATTCGCTGTATATTTTTTACTTATGTGGAATAATGCCGTGACATTAATTTTGTATAAAATGGTTTTTTTCCTCCAAGAATTATAAAAATGCTCTTTTATTAGTGTGTGTTTGTTGCATTATCTTTTTTATAATCTTCCTTGTTTTATATTCACCAGTGAGCTGTCATATGAGATAAAGTTTCACTTTAATCTAAACATTGTAACATTACTGCTTCAGTTCCTCACAAAGTAACAAATAACAACTTCATCACGTTATCCTAGTATTGAGTTAATGATAATCCCTTATATATTAAAGATTTCTCTACAACGTAATATTTTCTCTAATGTAATCTTAACAATGATAGGATAATTAAAACTTACACATAATTATTACATCGTTGTATTATTAGTTATATAGATCGGCAGATACATTTATATTCAGTTATATGTTATCATAGTATCAAAACAATCTTACTATTAATATCAACTTGCTGAAAAATATATCCAAAATATCAGAGCAATAATTTATTTCGTTATATATTTATTTCACAATTGAAGATGTGTTAGTTGTCAGTAATTAAAAATACTGAAATTCTGATATTATCTTTTATGCTTTTACATTTTCTTTTGGTGATTCAAGTACCATCAATTATGTTCACCAGTTCCATCATATCTGTTATCATAATCACTATATTTCTGTTAATAAGAGAAACAAACTAAACAGTAAAAGTGGCAGATAACCCCAGACTATCTATGGTTTTAAGCAATAATTTTAGGGTAGCATTAGTGAGAATCTTACTCACAGGCTGCTGATACAACAGTGACACACTTACAACCATTTGTTATTATCAACTGACTGGAAGTTATTTACTGAACAAATTTATTCATATTCCAGAAGACGTTGTTATCAAACACACATGAAAATTACATATATATATATTTTTATACTGTATATAATTATTGCTCGTTGTCTATAATCTTAATAGGAAAATATGCTTTGATTTTGTTATAGAAGGTACCCGTAGCATAAATACATTGTTTGAAGGGAAAATACAAAAACAATTGAGGTACTCATTTTATACTATTATATATATATATATATATATATATATATATATATATATATATATATATATATATATATATATATATATATATATATATATATATATATATATATATATATATATATATATATATATATGTATATATATATATATATATGGTACAGCCATAAGCGTGCGAGTCAAAGTATATGAAGATAGATACAATGGTTTGCACTGAAAGGTTCTACATCATTACTATATACACAAAATAAATTATCTAAATATTACCTATTTATTATTATTGTTGAAAACACTTGTGTCATGTTCTCTATGACTATATGAGTGATTGTAATAATAATTTAGAAGTTATCGTTTTCTTAGGTCTCACGAGGCACAAAAGTACACATTAGAAGTATAAAAAAAAAGGCAGCCATATGGAACTTTCAGCAGCTGTACCGAATAACAACAGATGTGGGTCATGCACCCGCCTGTATAGGGACCCGCTGTACTGAACGTTTGTCATGTATAAACACATCCAATACCTGTCTTTGTTAGGGAGTACTAGGCAGGTGACCGGAACAAGATGGTAATAATTCGGACCATCACCTTTGCATAATAAACAGTCATCATGGCAGCGAGATGAATATGCTTGATGGCGACAAAGGAACTGTTTCTACAGTTGTTTTGTTTGTTACTGTTATATCTGACAGCTTCATCGACAGGTTGGGTAAAAATATGAGTGTTGATATTGTGTTTGACTGTTAGGGTGTAAATATAAGAAGATTACAAACTGAGTGAGAACTGTGTTGGTTGGAAGATTAGTTGTTCTGTCATGGCGTGTGTCATTAAATTCTGTCCAATTTGACTTTCAACGTCAAGGACTTTCGCTACTTGCGTTAAATTTTTGGAGGGTCAGGAACACCTCACTACTATCCGCACTGTCTATAGTTACTACCAAACTAAGGTTCACCATCTCAGCCGACACACTATACTCTCTCACTATCACCCATAATCACCACCACCATCAACATTATTTTCCTACCACTATCGCAGTATTACTTACCAGTGTTATACCACTCACCACCGCCACACTGGTTACTACTACCTCGCCTACCACCACCACACTCTCGGTCACATCTAGGCCCACTGCCCACCTGACCAGAAGACCAGCCGAGGCCTACTCAGAAAATTAATTTTACAGCCGGCCCGAGGTCACGCCAAGCCATTTATTGCCCCCACAATATCATTTACATGCCCGCCTCGTTCCAGGTCTCTTTCGCCTTTTAACTTGACGCCCATAATTGAAACACTAATGAATTGACGTGAGAAAGGTGCGAGCTTTTATGGGTCTCCGCGGACACTGACGGTGAGGTGCAGGAAATTGGTCGGTGATGGATAGATGTTCGTCACTCGAGCTGAATTTGACGTCGAGTGTGACAAGGTGTGAGATAGTCACTGCTGAGGCAGAAAGACGTGATGGTTGTTTGTCAGCAGATGACAAGGTACGGCTAACGACTGACGGCGACTGACAAGGTGTGTCAGATGCAGCTACTTGACGTTGATAAACAAACTTGTAATGACAGAATGTTTCAAGACATTTCTGCTGGTTATTGACGATTATTGGCAATTTATGAATCAAAAATGAGTTACCTGACAACGAATTTGACAAGTTGTAAATTTAACAATAGCTAATTAATCAAGACATGTTAATCATATGACAAATCTCATGTTGACCATTAAGTAGTGTTATGATTAATCTCGCTGTTTTAATTTCAATAGAACAACTAAAAAAAATTAAATAAAAGATGCGTATAAATAATGTAATCATTTAATATTGATGGTATCTGTATTACTGGCATAACAAGTTGAGGCTCGTTTGAATAACAGCAGTACATGGGCTAGAATATAAAACAGTACCATCTAACTGACAAACATATATTAAGATTACCTATATAATTAGCTACAAATTTGTTTAGAAATGACGCTGTGTTCATGAGAGACGTTGTTGCTGTGATTCTCGGATGCTGGAAATACCTTGGGGTGGGTCCCTGTAATATACCAGGTTAGATTTTACTCATACAAGGTGTCAAAGTAGACGTCATCTCATGACTTTAGAATCTATAATAGAAAGAAAAAATGACACACACACACACACACACACACACACACACACACACACACACACACACACACACACACACACACAAAAGAGACGTGGAGGAAGGGTGGGTGGGTGGGGGTCTATATATGATCTTGTCAGATCCTTGGTGAGCTTTACACTACAGCCGGAATACTTCTTCCTCTCACCAACAAGGCTTCACACCCCCTGCTTAGCGAGGTCACGGGACAACACCTGGTCGAGTCACTACCTATTGCACGTACACCTTCACGAGAACATTAACTCTTCCTTGTCTCCTTTAATATTGCACTACGAAGCAACATGATGATTATTAACTAAACTTATTTAAAAAAAAGATAAACAAAAGAGTTTAATTCTCATATACCATCATCTTATATGTCGTTAATCCTGAGTATTTTTAGTTATAGTCTATTTTGGCCCCAATTTGTACATCAATAAGCAAGGCATGTACAGTATCTTATCTCTAATATTTTGTTGATAAATTTACATTTGTTGTTTAATATAACCTAAGTTTTGGCCCCAGTTTATACATAAATACGTATGAAATCATCGCCAATACACGAGACTATATAGTGACCAACCACAGTCCAGTAGGTTTTTCTGGGTCATCAAGTCACATTTAGTGCTTCTACCAATGCCCCTTCCAGCGTCCCCGTCAGGAGCAGAGGAGAAGGACTGGCATCACTTGCTTCCTTCTCCTCACTCTCCTCACTTTTCTCTCCTGTGCTGTCATTCGATAGCTTCGACTCCTTCTTGGCCTTCATCCTTCGATTCTGGAACCAAATTTTGATCTGCCGTTCTGTAAGTACAAGGGCGTGGGCGATCTCTATCCTCCGTCGCCGCGTCAGGTAGCGATTGTAATGGAACTCCTTCTCCAATTCGAGTGTCTGGTACCTTGTGTAGGTCTGGCGGGTCCTCTTAGGTCCTGCACCCTGATCCTGCCCTACTGAAAAATCAAGTATATTAGCTACTGAAGAAATGAGGTGAACTCCTGATATTTTCTGATAATTCAAGTGAGTTCAGATAATGATATACCTTCAAGTTGCAACAAAATATGTGAATATTAGCAATACAAGTCTGCAAATTAGCTTTTTTGTTGACAAAGACAATACATAGGTCTAAAGGAGGCTCATAACAACAAAACTAAAAGCAAAGTCAACTTAAACTTTCTTAAGAATATGTATCTCTTAAACAGATAAAACCAGAAGTCCATGTGTTCAGGTAAATATAAAACACACACACACACACACACACACACACACACACACACACACACACACACACACGCACACGACCCTACCATGCCTACGAGACCCTCTGCTAAATTAACTTCGTAACCTGGAATTTCAACTCCGTTCATAGATGTACCGTCCACCCTGTAGGTAAAGTAGAGTCAGAGGGTCACACGTAGAGTTAGAGGACCACAAGTAGAGTCAGAGGGCCACACGTTGAGTCAGAGGGCCACACGAAGATTCAGAGGGCCACTAGTAGAGTCAAGGGGCCACACGTAGAGTCAGAGGGCCACACGAAGATTCAGAGGGCCACTAGTAGAGTCAGAGGGCCACAAGTAGAGTTAGAGGGCCTCAATTAGAGTCAGAGTGCCACCAGTAGAACCATAGTGACACCAGTAGAGCCATAGAGTTCCATCAGAGGGCCATAGTGTGACACCAGTAGAGCCATAGAGTGCCACCAGTAGAGCCATACAGTGCCACCAGTAAAATACAGCCAGTAGAGCCTTAGAATACCACCAGTAGAGCCATAAAATGCCACCAATAGATTCATAGAATACCACCAGTAGAGTCATATAGTGCCATCAGTAGAGCCATAGAGTGCCACTAGTAGAGCCATAGAATACCACCAGTAGAGCCATAAAATGCCACCAGGAGAATCATAGAATACCACCAGTAGAGCCATAGAGTGCCACCAGTAGAGCCATAGAGTCCCACCAGTAGAGCCATAGAATACCACCAGAGCCAGTAGAGCCTTAGAATACCACCAGTAGAGCCATAAAATGCCACCATAGATTCATAGAATACCACCAGTAGAGCCATAGAGTGCCACCAGTAGAGCCATAGAGTCCCACCAGTAGAGCCATAGAATACCACCAGTAGATCCATAGAATACCACCAGTGGAGCCATAGAATAACACCAGTAGAGCCATAGAGTGTCACCACTAGAGACATACAGTGCCACCAGTAGAGCCTTACAGTGCCACCAGTAGAGCCATAGAATACCACTATTAGAGCAGAATATCACCAGTAGAGTCATATAGTGCCATCAGTAGAGCCATAGAGTGCCACCAGTAGAGCCATGGAATACCACCAGTAGAGCCATAGAGTGCCACCAGCAAAGGAGTGGGGTCAGACATCAGTATGCTGGGTGGTGGTGGTGGCAGCTTCCCGCAGGTGATCCCCCACACACCCAGACCTTATGCCGGGAAATGCCTCGGTATTATCTCAGACTGTCAATCATCCCCAGCCCGGCAGCGATGACCTCTGACCCTGTTTGTCTGTCTGTCTGTCTGTCTGTCTGTCTGTCTGTCTGTCTGTATGGGTGTTTGAATGTCTGTCTATATGTATGGTTTGATTTTTTCTCTGTTTGATTGTCTATGCATTTAATTCCAGTGAATTTGTCTGTCTGTTTGTCTGTCTGTCTGTCTGTCTGTCTGTCTTTACTTTAAACTGATTGTGTGTATATATATCTTTTTAGCTTTATTTTCTACTGTCATTCTATGTCTGTTAGTTCGTCTTGTCTGTAAGGCTGTATATCATTTCTACCACTGTGTCTGTACGTTCGTTGTTATACAGATAAATATTTCTACTGTAGTGTAGATCTGTTTGTCTATTGAGGATGAACAGACTGTCTGCAACTTGGACAAAATAATTTCTCGAAAGACCTATGTTTATGTATTCGTGTGTGTGTGTGTGTGTGTGTGTGTGTGTGTGTGTGTGTGTGTGTGTGTGTGTGTGTGTGTGTGTGTGTGTGCCCTCCTCTGTCTATCTAATCTCAGGATCTGACCGTGAATCCACTCTCTCTGGTTCACCTACCTGTCCGTCCTGCCTACACACATACCTGGCCTGTTTACCTCTATGTCCGGTCCAGCTCTCTCTGTCTATCTGTCTGTCTGTCGATCTCTTAGTATTTCGTAAAAAATTTTGTAGAGCTTTGTACGTAGAAACTGCTCATGACTCAGGTATATGTGTATTTATTTACATTTTACTGTTAATTAAATCTTGTTGTTGACCTCAACAGTAAATAACGAGGTTTTATTTATTATTGGTCCCGAGGGAGTATTAACACCTGTCTTACACGTTCAGGTATATCACACCTTCACCTCTCTCTCACCTTTACCTCCCTCACACCTTTACCTCAAACACACTTCCTCCTCCCTCACATCCCTCACACCCCCACTCCCCACCTACATTACACCTATACCTTCCTCACACCTTCACCTCCCTCAGACCTCCACTATCTCATACCTCTACCTCACACCTCCACCTACCTCACACCCCTATCCCTCTCGCACTTTCACCTCCCTACCCCTCCTCACACCCCACCCTGCTCACACCTCATCTACCTCACACCCCACCCCCTCACACCCCCACCCCTGCTCACACCCCACCCCCTCACCTCACCTACCTCACACCCCTCACACCCCTCCCCACACCCCACCCCCTCACCCCCTCCCACCCCACCCCCTCACCCTACCTCCACCCCCCCCTCCCCCCTACCCCTCCCTCCACCCCCCCTCATCCTACCCCTCCTCACACCCCCACCCCTCCACCTCACCCCCCTCACACACCCACCCTTCTCTACCCCTCCCCTCACCCCCACCCCCTCCACACCTCCTCACACCCCACCCCCTGCACCTCACACCCCACCTCACCTCACACACCCAACCTCCTCGCACCTCCCTCACCTCCCATCCCCACCTACCTCACACCCAACCCCCCTCGCACCTCAACTACCTCACATCCCCACCTCACACCTTCAAATGGTTGTCCTGGTGGTTCCTCCCTCACATCCTCACACCACTCTGTCAAGACGCTCATGCCTCCCTTCTTGTCCTCATAAAACTGTCTTCCTTTTCATTTATCATCGTCTTTTATCAATAACTTATCTTTCGTACCTTAGAATTATATAATTATTTTAGTTTTGTTTTAATGATTGTGTTAATTATTATTCCTATATGCGAAAATTATTGACAGAAAAAAGTTTCATTTTTGTTTGTTTGAGGAAATGGTTTAAACTCCTGAGTATAAACAACATAATTAGAAGACGGGAATAATTCATTTCTTTAACTCCCTCTTAATTAAAATCAAAACAGTAAACTATGAAATAAATCTTTATAAAATAATTACGTGGTTTAATGGGATCAGTTTTGAAAATAAATTAACATAAAATAAAATCCCTCAGACCAGTTTTACTTTCTTATATAATGCGGTTAAAGTTATTAGAGTATAATTACCGTGGAAGATGTGTTATTAAGGAGTAATAAATAGTCTTTGTCAGTGTGTGTGTGTGTAAACTGTGGGTCGCCTTTGTCAACCATGGGACCGACGCGGAGACCCCACAGTTGGTCTGTTTGTTTACACGACAACCACACACGCGCAGCAGGGACCAGACACCACCATCCTTACCACCACCACTACCACTAGTACCACCACTACCACTACTACTACTACTACCACCACCACCACTACTACTACTGCTACTACTATTACCATTGTTACCATTTCCAGGAAAGATAATGACAACTATTACCCCTACCATTACCACCACCAAAGTTAGTATCACAGCCTTTATCACTACCGTAACCAGTAGTAGCTTGAAGCCTCTTAACATCACCACCATCACCACAAGTCCACCACCAAAAACAATGTCAATAATAACAGTACTACCACGAACAACACCATCACCAACACCACCACCATTATCACCACCACCACTACCATCATCACCATCACCACCACCTTCATCATCACCACTATCACTAACACCACCACTACTATCACCATCGCCACCACAGCAATCACCACCACTGCCACTACAACAACAACCAACACCACCACCAACACTAACAACAGTAACAATAACCACCACCACTACCACCCCCACCACCACCACCACCACCACTACCACCACTACCACTACAACCACCCCCACCAACAACAACAACAACAACAATCACCACCACCAATACCATCACCAACAACCACCACCACCAACAACAACAACAACAACAACAACCACCACCACCAACAACAACAACCACCACTACCATCACAACAACACCAACACAAAAGAAAAAAAACACAAAAAAACTTTACAATTCGGATCATCTCGTTGGTCATTTCTTAACAAGTACCTTTTTTTTTCCTATATCCTCTTTTCCAGGGAACTAGAGCCATATGAGGCGCGTTAATAGCAGGGTGTTGAGGAAGAGGAGGCGACATATGGACACACGTCGTAAAACTCGAGGGAAAAAACACGTGTATCGGTGCGTGGCCTGAAGGAGAACTCTCTGCAGGCCCTGGTTGACTACAATAAACCTGAGGGAACCACGAGAGGTCGGTCGGTGTCAGAAGCTGGGAAGATGAAGACACTTGCTGGAGGAAATTAGAGGGGAGAGTGGAAGAGGTGTCAGAAACCATGAGGGGATGTAGGGATTAGGTGTCAGAAATCAAGAGGAATGTAGGGATTAGGTGTCAGAAATCAAGAGGGATGTAGGGATTAGGTGTCAGAAATCAAGAGGGGATGTTGGGATTAGGTGTCAGATATCAAGAGGGATGTAGGGATTAGGTGTCAGAAATCAAGAGGAATGTAGGGATTAGGTGTCAGAAATCAAGAGGGATGTAGGGATTAGGTGTCAGATATCAAGAAGGATGTAGGGATTAGGTGTCAGAAATCAAGAGGAATGTAGGGATTAGGTGTCAGAAATCAAGAGGGATGTAGGGATTAGGTGTCAGATACTGGTAGGATAGAAGGAGTGTTGAGTATAATCCTTCAGCAGTTGACTATGATGTATCGAGAAGCAGGTGAAGAAAAAATAGTCAGTCAAAGTTTTCCATCGAGAATAATTGAGATCATTCAGTAATACTACATTCAAATAGATATTTATACTCATAGGCACAAATATAAACAAGCAAACAAACATTCATACACACAGACAAACAATATATCTCTCAACATAGAGACAGTTCCAATACTTCAAAACAATCACCTATAATTCCACCTACGACACCAAACACAAACAATCACACACTCCCAGAATTATATCCAGGCACAAACAGTAAACAAACACACCAAGAAAGAAGTCCAAAGCACCAACCTGCAGGATACGCCTTCACCCACTGGTAGTAGTTGGCAGGGGACTGGGTCTTGGAGGTATAAGGTTGTATCGCCCCGTCAGGAGAACCGCCGTAGACGTGGCTAAGAACGTCCGTAGGGCTGAGGGGGTTGTGGGTCACTGAGGTCACTGCCGAAGGGGTTAGTCCAGTTATCGGATTCATATAACAACTGTTCATTTTGGCACTGTGGAAGTCACTGTTCACTGGGCTGAGGGCCTGTGGCACTATTGAAGAAGGGGTTGAAGGAGCAGGGGGTGGCGGAGGAACAGCAGCAGATATGGACTGGGGAACTGTATGGTCACCGCTCCTGGAGGAGGTCATGGAGGTGTAGAAACCTTGGTTGGCGTCGTATCCTGCAGGAGGGGCAGACGATGAGGTTGTGGTGTTCGTGGTTTGTTCGTACTCATTCTTTATGGCGACCCCCATGTTGCCCAATGCAGAATATGCAGCGGCAGGATAGCGGTAGCCTTGCATATTGGCGCTGTACTGCGTGTAGGCCTGCGTGGGGTCAGGGTAACCCACTGGGCTCCTGGAACTCTGCATGTAGCTGTATTGGTCTTGAGTGGTGGCGGCCCAGCTGCCCGCCGAGGCCACGTTGGCAAAATAGGAGCTCATGACAGCGCGCGGGCGACAGATGATGGCCGTACTGATAGGCCTACTGTCCCAGGCCTACTGCACTTCGCCATTATCACGCTTTGGCGAGCGGCCGTCACGTGACCAGCGCCGGCCAATCAGAAGGCAGCCTCGCTATTGTCACGTCCGAGGCTGGTCGCGTGCATAGCCGCCCAGGGAATGCACCATCTCTCCACCCTCTCAGATTTACCCCCATTTGGGGCCTCTTGGGCGATTTTTATGGTATTTTGGACATGCTAGTTATGGTCCACAGCGTTTATTGATAACCCGAGCTGGTGTGAAGGAGGAGGGATGGACACCCACCACATGTGATACTAAAAACATCAGCGAGTGTAAACAAACAGACGGGTCGCTTGAGTGACCACAGTGAAAGGATTTCTTTATTCTATGGAAGTTTTTGCTGACTGAAGAATGTTAATGTAATGGGGATATTTTTTGTTCATTTTATTATGTGTGTAATTACGTACTTAGGCGATGATTATATAATAATTACAATTGGAAATTTTGAAAATTTGAGAGTATAGACGCACCATATATATTTAAGCATACGTGTACTCACATACACAAACAATATACAGTTGTATATATTATCCAAGACTGTTGGCACAAGTCTGAGCCACACACAGTAAGTAATACATCACGGTGGTAGACGTCTAGAGGCCAATAGAGGGCATAAAGCAGCGTATCTATCAGCATACAGGGAATTATTTATAAGAGGGTCGCCAGCCGGGGAAGGAGAGGCCAGGGAAAACTAGTCGATAAGGAGGCAAAGTGTGGAAGGGGAGGAGGAGTGGATGGTGGTAGATGGAGGGGAGGAGGAGGAGGAGGGGACAGAGAGTGGGAGTGGTAGGGAAAAATCGTTCTCTCTCTGTTTTCTCACACCCACTTCCTTCTCTCCCCCTAATTCTATATTCTGATTTTCTACTTATTTTGCCTTTCCATTATCTCTTTCCCCAAAATTATCACATCTTTCGTTCTTCAGTAACCGAATATTTATCACAGCGAACACCAAATGTGAAGATCAAACTCCCATCAAGATACATTAACTTAAAACACCCTCAATACCCAATGTGGGATTCTTCACAGTTGATAATTTCTGTCGCTGTGAATTGTTCCAAGTAGAATTGTTACTAATCTCTTTTATTATGTGATTTTTTCGTGTTTTTTTTTCTTTCGGGGCAAACATCAATAAATCTCTCACATACTGTTAAACCTCGATAACTCAATGATCTTTTGTTTACATCATTATCCAATATCAGCATCTCACCCACTCATAAAGTCATCACACCAGTTGTCTCAATCTGCCTCCAGACACCTCTGCTATTACTTTTATTGTAAGATGAGAAGAAATAAAACGGAAAGTGTCCGTCGGTGTGTCGGAAATTAAGAACTTACCCTTGTCCTGGCAGGCCGGTCCACCCACCCTTAAAGGGTAGGGGAGGGGGAGAGACCCGGCCGGCAAAATTTATTTCCTATTATTCTTTTTCGTCCCCGGAATCATCCCTTTTATTTTCGTCTTTTTTTTTTCATCGCCATCGAAGCTGTCTGAAATTATACTCAATTATATTTGAGGAACAGAAATTGGAAGGCAATAAACGTGGTTTAAATGATTATTTCTAATCTTAAGGAAAATTGGGAGTTTTTGGAAAGAGGAAATGGGTTCCAGAGTCGCACACACTCCCACCGTCCCTCCACCAGTCCCTCCCTCCCTCCCTTCCTCTCCATCCCTCAATCCCTCCCTCCCTCACTATCCTACACCGTCTCTCCCCACAGCGCCTCATATGGCAAGAGTTAATAGGGCCAAAGTTTGACGTGTCCACAGGGGAAGGCCGCGCCGCTGGGCTCTTTAAATAATCAGCCCCAGAAACTCTGTGAAATTGTCGGTCGGCTGTAGCGGCAGGGGTTCACCAGGGGATGGCAGGGGTGAGCTGGCAGGGGGTACGGTAGGGGAGGAAAGAAGGGAAGGTTAGAAGCGAGGGGAAAGTGGATAGTGAGTATAGGGAGGTAAAGGAGGGTATAGAGTAGGAGTGATAATGAAGGGATAGAGGGATAAGGAAATAAGTAAGGAGTGGGAAGTGGTAGAAGAGATGAAGATGGAGACAGAAGGGAAAGATAAAAAGAGAGAGTAGAGGAAGCGGTAGAAGTACAAGGAAAGCATGTGAGGATGGGATGGAGGAGCCGGGAGATGAAAGAGATAGAGAAGAAAGGAAAAATGGTGTTTAGGGTAACAAGGGGAAGAGGGGAGAGAGAGAGGAGGAAGTTAGGAAGTGACTTGGGCCATTTGGATTGGGGTTAGCAGGAAGGGGTGGGGTTAGCAGGGAGGTGTTTGGGTCAACAGGGAGGTTTTGGATCAGCAGGGAGGGGATGGGTTCAGCAGGGAGGGTAGGTGTCAGCAGGGAGGGTAGGGGTCAGCAGGGAGAGTTTGGGTGTCAGCAAAGGGTTTGGGAGTCAGCAGGGAGGGATTGCACGACCACTTTCTGCTACCACTAAAATCGCTATAACTTCCACCATCATTCCCTCCTTCACCACCACCACACTACCACCACCACTACTACCAGTACCACCACTATCACCAACACCATCCACAACCACCACCTCCACCACCACCACCACTACCATCGCTACCACCACCACCACTGCTGTAGGTGTGGCAGCGGGCGTTGTCGCGGGCACATGAGCCTTTTCTTCTCCCCCTTCATCCACGTGGCGGTGAAAGGGCAGCTGACAGCCCTGCGACCTCTAGCTCTCCCCCCCTCACCAACTCCCCCTATCAACAATGTTTCACAACCCACCGTCCCTCTCAAACCAAAACGTCTTCTATGTCTCTTCAATCTCAAAACCTCTTCTTTAACTCGAGCCCTAATCCATCGACCACCAGATAAAGAAGTAGATAACAAAAAATACGTCGAAAGGGAGACACAGAAGCGATGGATAGGCGAAGTATAAATTAGCCACGACGCCAAAGCCGCTTTTTCTTGCGCCTTTCGCTCGCGTGCCCATCGACAGTTTGACGTCCCGGACACTGAATTACGTCCAAGAGGTCAGACATCTGGCTCAGGTCTGCCGCTTATGCAAAATAACGGATATGTATCCCTAGATTAGGTCACAACGCAGTGTATGGTCGAGGGGGGAGGAGGAAGGGGAGTGTTGGGGTGTTTGAGGGAAAAGGGAGGAAGAGAGGGGGAATGTTAGGGAGATTTGAAGGGAGAGAGAGAGAGAAAGAGGGACATTTTGAAGAAATTACGGGAGGGGAGAGGAAGGAGAAGTTACAGGTACTAATAAACGACCATTACACCTCCTTATAAGTGGGAAAACCTGAAGATTCGCTCTCCAGCATATTTCACCTGAATATTAACCATCCTAACACTTCCCAGGGGGCTTAGGCTATATAAGGTTAAGTTATGTTAGATTAAGGTAGGTTAGGTTAATCTCCAGGTGTCATAAGTTGGAGGGGCGAATGTTCAGGTAATCCCGAAAGTGTTATTCATAATGCGAGTTAACAGACAACTCAACCAGAGACATTGAAATTGAACAAACATGAACTTATACCAATATCAACCTAACCTAACCTAACCTAACCTACACACGTTCTCCCACTTAAAACTGACTAGAATAACAGCCACAATTATATTAAAACGTATAAATATCTTTTTAATCCTCTGAAACAACTGAGGTAAATTAGGTCAATATTACCCTCATAAGGAGATACAAAAACAGTAACTTAGCTGAATAATAACTGAGCGAGAATAAACAGGGAGAAGGAAGACGTACAGAGGCTGGTGGGGAGTGGGTGGGTGGTGGTGGAGTGGGTGGAGTGGGTGGAAAGTGTTGCACCGAAGAGTGAGTGAGGGTGGAGGGTGGTAGAGTGAGGAGAGTGGATGAGGGTGGAAGGTGAGTGAGGTGGGGGAGGAGGGGGTGGAGGATGGTGGAGTGAGGAGAGTGGATGAGGATGGAGGGTGGTGGAGCGCATGGGGAGAATGAATGAGGGTAGAGGGTGGGTGGGTGTAGGTGTGGGTGGAGGGTGGTGGAGTGAGAAGAGTGGATAGGGGGGATGGTGGTGGAGTGAGTGTGGTGGAATGAGTGTGGTCAAGTGAGTGTGGTCGAGTGAGTATGGTCGAGTGAGTGTGGTTGAGTGAGTGTGGTCGACTAATTGTGGTTGAGTGAGTATGGTTGAGTGAGGGAGGGTGGTCGAGTGAGGGTGGTGTCTGAGGGTGCTGGTGTTGGCCTGAGGGACACAAAGCGTTCACTAATCCGTTGCAACGCCGCAGCTGCCGCGTTCACAGGGGGCGGCCTGCAACCCAACGCTGTCCACCTACTACCATTGTTAACTGTAATTCATTCTTATATTTCTCCTGGTAACTCCTGTAATGGCAAGAAGGCGGTAGTAGACTATATAAAGAAATGAACACGTATTATAAACTTCAGGACTTCTTTTACAGATTTGTTTTCTTTTGGTAGACGGGGAGACTGACTTTGCTCATATTACAATACCAAAATGTCGTAGTTACAGCCGACACAGTTCTGATATGAGGTTATAATTAATGATTATTTGGGTAGACACCATCACTCTCATTGATTGGGCCGCCAACTTCCCCCACCCTCAGCCAGTTACTCACTCAAACACATTTGTAGAAATATTCGTCAGAGATACCCACCCCCGCTTTCCTCCCTATACTACTCTCCCTCCTTCTTACTCTACCTTCTACCATCTCTCTCCCGTGCTCTTTCCTAGCCTCTTGCCCTTCTACCCCCCTCCTTCCTACCCGCTTACCCTCCCTCCTACCTAACTTCCCTCCCTTCCTCCGTCCTACCCTCCCTTCCTCCTATTTTCCCTTCCTTACCCTTTCCTACCCTGCCTCCTTCCTTCCTTCCTACTCTCCCTCTTACGTTTCCTCCTTTACTACCACCCTTCACTTCCCTTCTTTCTACCCTAACTCCTACACTCCATCCTACCCTCCCTTCCTCCTTCTCTCCCTCTCTCA